ATTGGTAGCCACTTGCTCCATTTAGGAGGGAACAGGCTGGAGGGCAGAATGTGGGGCAGTTCAAGAGAGAAGGGATTTTGCATAGCAAGAGGGAGGGGAAGAGTTAAGAAGATGCAACAGGCACTGTGCAGATGCCACAGAAGTAGAAAGGGTCAAAGAAAGACCAGGTGAGTAGAACTTCTCCAACATATGCCTTATCAAAAATCTCAGCTTTGCGATTAATGTCTCCAGTTCCTTTCACAAAAATCTCTTGGAGATTTTCCCTTTTTGGCTTCTTCCTTTTCCTTTCTGTTTGTATCCCCTAAAGTTTGCGGTTGCCCCTGACTCAGATCCCTTCTAAGGGAGAATGGGTGTTATGTATTTCCAAGCAAATTCTTTTTCTTTCATAGAATTTTTTTTTTTTTTTTTAGATAGCAACTTTCCTTCAGGTTGGTGTCGTTTATGCATAAGAAGGTTTTGTCTGTATATTGCTGTGGGTATGAACATTAGGTCTGGAAAGCGTAATTGCCTGTCTTGTAATCTGAGTGCAGCACAGCGCAGGGAAATAATTAACAAACCAGTCAGCCAGCCAAATGCTAATATTTGCGTTCGCCGTTGATATATAGAGAGCAAAGCTGCTGATGGAAATAATTTTCAATTTTATTGCAGGCACAGATGATACCCTGCGAGAGGGAGAGTAGGTCTCATCCCAGCCCCCCAGTGACTGCACTTCTCTTGGAAGGACTGTGAAATGTTCAGGGACTTGTCTTTGTGATTCTCACTGGAGTCACTAAGACTGTTTGCTGATGTCCCAGGCAGGACCTAGAGAATTAAGCTATGGTATCATGAGACTCAAGGTTTTCTTTGCAGGACTTATGAACAAGAAGCAGCTTCTGTTTGGCTACTTAATTCACTGTTTAGCTGAAGATTTAACTGACACGTGGCTGATCTCAGCACTTGTTAAATGGACACCTCAGTATTTGTCCTTCCTCAGCACCACCCCACACACACTCCCTACCCTGCCAAATTGTCAGGAATATTACTGCATTAAAATCAATATATCAGAAGCCTGATTCTACATGCTCTATTGTTTTGCATCCTGCTGTGTGCTCACCCGCTTCACTCCAGAATGACTCGATTTCAATTAGGTGTTAAGTATGTAGAATGTTTTCTAAGCATTTCTAACCCTAATCGAATCTGGTTTATTACCTTTCCATGCACTTGACCCCTTTTCATTTTCTAGTGGTTGAAACATTAAGACACAATGATTAAAACGCTCAACAAGGTATACGTAAGTGCTCACGTGTAATAAAATGAAAGCAAACGCTTACTGTAAGAACAGAAATGTTGATTTTTAGCTGTCCTGAGAATTAGAAAAGAGAAGATAGACACTGACTGGTGAAAAGATGAAATACGAAAAAGCCACGTGAAGATGAAAAAGAACTATTATCTCTTAGATGGTGTCACCTCTCTGCGAGTACAGTATTGTGCTCCTCCGAGGATGCAGGTTAAACTGATAGTGCGTTAAGGGTTTTGCAGCCCTTCCTTAGGCAGGCAGTTCCTCTTAATGCAGCTGACTCCTAAGGAAGCTTTGTTGTGAGTGCACAGATACCAGGGCTGAAGTCAAATGCTCTTCAATTAAATATATATTTAGGTAGGTGGGAGCAAGTAGAAAGTTTGATAGCAGTATCAGCACTGCTGTCAAAACTGAAGAGCTTTGCAAAACTACATCCACCTTGAACTTAAGAAAGAAAACCAGTATTGAGGAGAGAGGGCAGGTGTATCTTTGGAAGGGAGGGGAATTAAAAAAAAAAAAATACCAGAATGATGTATTTGGACATTACTGAAACCGGTTTGAGTTTTCATTTTGAAATTAGTTTTTTGTTTCCATTTTTAACTTTGAAAATATAGAAGAAAACGTCTAAAATTTGAAATCAAATTAATTGCTTCAGAAAACCAGTCTTGATGGAACATGTCAACATCAAGTCTAAAATTATCAGAGTCATTTGTGAAATTTGGACTTTCATCCTCCTCATAGCCCTGCTAAGCAAGTACACTCCCTGTGTGTTTGGAACAAAATTTTGCAATCAAGGGATTAAAATGTAAACCTGGACACACACATTTACAGCAGCACCATCATCACTTCAAAAGCAAACATGTGTTGCTGCAGGATTGGATTAATCTAGCGAAAAAGGGAGGAAAAAAATATGTCCTGAACTTGCAGATTTTTTTCTCCCAGAGGAGTAATGGTTCTTACATAAATAAGCACTTTATTCTGTAAGTGAATACACTTTCCTTCTACAGATTGACTTCACCTCTTCTGCCTTTTTCTCTGGTGCAAGCCTCGTGATTCTGTTTTTAAATATCAACGCTACAAACTTCCAGGGCAGAGTTAGGCAGGAACCTCATTGTTTTAAAGTAACATCTTGAAACCTCCAAGTTGGTATAAAATAAAAATCTTGGTTGGACAGCACTGTGAATGACAGATGTAGCTTATCAGTAATGTGGACGAAATACAGTTACTAACATCATCTTCTGTGATCAGGTAAGGAGTGAGGAAAACCAGACATACAATAAAGAACAAAAAATGATGGAGTAGTCTGATAAATAAATTCCTTTGCTGCATTACAAATATTTTCTAGTTAGGCAGCATCAAGCATGCGGTCCGTGGTGGTTTGCTGTGCCCCGGTGCGTGACAAACACTGAGGGTGCTGAGCAGCTTTGGCGCTGACAGCCGTGGTCGGTGCGCGGGGCAGAGGGGCCCTTCGTGTCCGCCCTGCCTGGCTGTGGCCGTGAGCACGGCCAGGTCCCCACACAAACCTCCACAGAAACGTCGGCTGTACCCAGAAACCACACCAGCGGGAGGAGGATCGGAGTCTCCCCTGTGTTCATCAATTGTCACAGTCAGTTTTCAGCAACTCTGTGTTTTGAACCGCAGCTGATTTTATTTTTTTTTTATCTTTTTTTCCTGTCTTTCATGATACATGTGCGTGTCTCATGAATATGATTTATTGTTTCTCTTTCCAAGCTAAAATGGTTGGAGGAGGAATATGGCGCTTGCTCCTGAGAAGATCAGTTAGTAACTGGCCTGAGGAAAGCTTGTTCTAGGCAGTTAGTGATTCACTCTTGTCCTTAGAACTTGAAGTTACATATTTCTCCGATAATTATGTCTTGAGGAGTATATTGTGATATATTCCCACTGCGAGTATCAACGTTCCTGCCTTTTACAGGTTTCTACCTTCTTGTTTCAGGAATACTTTGTCAGTGAATTTCACAGGTTAATTACCCATTGTTTAACAAAATGCCATTTTTTCATTGTCTCCTCCAACTGCTCATTTTCACAGATCTCATTGTGAGGTAGGCATCTATTACATTGTCTTTATTTTCAGCTCTCAAAGTAGTATAATTTCCATTTCTTTTATATGGAATTCTTCCTGTTCCTGTAAGGGTTTCTCCTTTTGCCTAGGTTTTTTGTTTGTTCTGCTTATGGAAATATTTTATGCATGGCAGCTAAAGCTAAATACGCAGCTCACGGTGAGCCTAGGTATTAATGCAGGGATTGGCACTGTGGACGAGCACGGGTTTTGTCTAATCTCAGATTTCTGTCTGGTAGGTGCCACTGGTGAGTGTTTCAGAGGAAAGGGCACAACAGTCCTCGGTAAGGGAATCATGAACCTAGCACAGAAGGTCTTCCACTATCAGTCTTTTAAACTGTGCCCTGAAAAATGAGAATCTGTATGGCTGCTTATTTTTATCCAATCTAAAGTAACTTCTGGGGAGGTTTTAAGTATAAGTGACCAATCCTTCCTGATGTTCTCATAGTCTCGGTGATGTAACAGTGAGTTTCACCTCAGGTTCACCAAGTGCTCTAGGAAAAGGTGTTTGCCTTTATCAATTTTATACATGTTGTCTTTTCAATTTCACTTAATGTCCAGGAATGTGGCTTTATTTCCCTTTTTCTACCATTCATTATTTTCAAAGCCTCTTTAATGTCTTCCCTTATTCATCTCCTGTCTGAAGGAAACAATTCCAAATGTCTCAGTCAATTCTACTTGACTTGTATGTTTTTAAATAATTTATTTCTTTTTTTGTACCTGTCCTAATTTTGAAATGTACTTTTTGAAGATGAGAATTCCAGGCACAATCCTGGTCTGTAGGTTGGCAATAGGGTATTACTGGTGTAATTCTGATTCTTTTGACTGTTGTTAACATTTTTCATTTCATTTTCTCTGGTGATCCCATGGGTACTGGAAAGATTTCCCAGGAAAGTTCAACACTATGCAGGTTGTTGCAAATCCTCCCACAAATACATTTTCACTTACCCGAGTGTCCTAGAGTGTTTCAGTTAGCATTTGTCACCACACTTTCTTTGCTGTGTTCCAGTGAAATGGCAAACCGTGTGTTTTGGAAGCATTTTAGTGGAATTTATTTCTGGTTTTTAATGATCATGTATATTTGATGAATACGGGTGGAAGGCAGGCATTTGGAGTGTGGTTAATTCAGGAGTGATCTGCTCCTCTAGAAACTAAATTGTCTGAAATGAAGCTCGTGTTTCTTCCTGCAGAGAGGTTTAAATTATGGCAGTTACTATACAGTTTAAGCTCTTAAATAATAACCTTTTGAGGACTTGATCTTGAGATGTCTCAGTACCAAAGTTTAGTCTCTGCATTTTAAAACACTTCTAAGTCTCTTTTTTCAGCATGCTGCCCAAACCTGAATTTATTTAGTTGTTATCTGTGAAAATGCAGTTTGTCACAAGGTGCTGGGAAACGGATGATCTCCCAAGTTAGAGTCTGCTTCCGTAACTGGTGGCTTTTCATCATTCAGAGACAGTATATCAGACTTTTTCTCACATCTAGGAACTTTGTAAATAAGGATGTAGAAGCAGCACAATGATCACTAAGAATGTCTAGGCTATGCTTAGCTTTCACTCCTGATGAAGCAGCTTTTTGGCATGAAATTAGAGCTGAAAAACAGGAGTCCAGATTGCTAATCTCTTTTTTGGTTTTTTTGGTCTCCAGATCTAAACGTCCAGTGCCAGTTTCGACCACAGCACCCAGAATTGACTCTCCCAGGGCTGTAATTCCCCACCAGAAGGTATGTGACACATTTCTCCTCAGCCAAAGTTAACTTTTATCTACCACAGTGAAGGTAAATACCTACTACAGAAAATAGCTTTTGTCCACCCCAGATAACTAAACATTGAATTAATTCACAGGCAGCAAAATTGCCACTATGAAATATATTAATGATCTGTATTTTACTAATTTCTGATTAGCAGAACCAAAGCATCCAGCTGTCCTCTGATGTGATCTGGTCTAACCCAGACCAGATGTGTGGCTAGTTTTCATCTAGGCTGCAAGAGGCTACCAAAGCTCCTCAAAACATACATTTGCTTTTGTAGATTCTTGGGAAAAAAACTTTATCCTGTGCCTCGGTGTATCTAAATCCTGGCTACAGCTGACAAGACATTGATTTGGCAAGAGGACCTTTAGGCATTTGAAAGCTTGCATCATATTGTCGTTTTGTCACATTATTCAAAAGACTTAAGAATGAAAAATAAAGAGGATAAGTCATTTTAATGAATAACAGCAAGTGGCAGGGGAAATGGATGGCTTGGTTTCTGTTGTCAAAGCTCATCATCTTCCATAAAATAACTGTTCATATTAGAATCAACAGCATTCATTGACTGTACCTGGCAACTCATCACCTGTGTCTTTGGAGGATACCTGAAAGATGGTATATATCCTTAGGCTCAGGAGCTGGGTAGGACATTTGTATTGCTGATGCATTCAATTAGATAAATGGAGAGGGGGTAAAATCTCCATTTCTGCCACTTTATCCCTTCTGAGTGCCAGTTTCATCCCTAGCATGTAGTATAAATAAGAAATACTGAAGATCAAAATACGTGGGGAATTAGGGGATGTTGTACTGGTTTTGGCAGATCTGACTTCCATAGATTAATTTAAAGTAATTTTCATAAAGACCATGCCTTCCAAAATCAGAGCTCAGAATGTAGCAATATCCCTGTAACCTCTGCAAATATGTTTAAATTAACCGAAGGGAACGCACTAGGGAAGAATAACTTGATTCAATGTTATTTTGTCAAATCTGAAATGAACCTGTCTAGCCATTTATTAGTTGAGACAGAAGTAATGTTATTTTGCTCCAGATCTTGTAAACTTTCTGGCAAGGGAAGAGGAAATTAAGAATTTATCTTGCTCAGAGTTGTTTCTGCTTATATCATGATTTTATGAAAGTTGTCTTAGAGAAAGTTATGGAAGAATCACCAAACAGTACTGTGAATTTCCTAGAACAAAACTGATGGATCATTCTTTGAGTTAGACTCGTGTTGGACTGCACCAGCAAAGTAATAGGGACAGGAAGGGAGAGAGAGTACTTATTATCCCTCGAGAACTACACAGAATGCTGACAGTTTTCAAGGAAGCAAGCAGTCACATCTCCTCAGAGTTATTCACCAACACAGACTGACAACTATCTTTTGGGACCCTCAGTAGCAGCTTTGCAGGTACGACAAGTTTGCCTACTTCCACCACAGGCACATAAAAGCTTTTATGCATCAGATTGTCATGACTCTGTATTAGGTGCATTTTTTCCCTGGCAAGTGTCAATTTAAAAATGACTGCCATAGGTATTCAGAGCTGTTTGCCACACAAAACATTTTTCTCTCTTAACTGTGTACCCTATAGAAAAGTTAACTCCACGCACTGTAGGTTTTTTTTAAAGGTTCTGAAAGTGCCTTTGGCATAAAAGCTATAAAGGCACTTGACCTTTCCTATGTTAACCCTCCAGAAAGAGATGAGGATCAATGGACTCAACCCTTTTTCACAAGCATGTTGTCTCACTCTTGAGCATTCTTTGCATCGGTGCTTAGGAAAGGTTTCTGGGAGCTGCTGCGGGCAGCCTGTTCTGAACGGGCTACAAGGCAGTACTTGCAGCTGGAAAAGAGATTTACTGGAACCTTTCTGGAGGAAAAAGGTGGCACCTGGCAGAAGGTATGGTGGGAAGCAGGGTATCTAGCAGTATTCAGGAAGGTGATCTTAGGTGTAGGGTCATTGGCCCAGGGAGAAGAGGGAGCAGTAGATGCTGGAGCAGGGGCCCCTCTGAGAAGTGACATTTGTGTCTCCAGTATACACCAGTAGACAACAGTAATTTTCAACTGAAGAAAAATTCTCTGAGGGTGGTTTGGAAGGTATTAAAGACCTGAAACCATTGAAGTCTCAAAAATCAGAATAAAAAGTCTTTATTGATACAAACAGTGGTCTGTGGATGTTGCAGTAAGGTACGTTACAGTAAATACACTTTAAAAATCAAGATTTCTGTGCTTGTCCCTTTGTTATTTCTATTAACAGTATGACTGTAGAAACGCAGAATTCCTTGACACACAGGCAGAAGCTGTCGCCTCCACATCACCGCTTGACAGTGTTTAGATTCTGATGGTTCACATTAAATTAATTCTATTGCATTTCAAAAAAACAGCAAAAAACTACAAGACAGTCACAACGGTTTTGTCTTCAAACCTTGAGAGAAGTTTTTCTCACCTTTCTGAGTCAAGGTTAAGGCATGGCAATGTTAGCTAAAAATCTGCATGTGCAAGTTCAGTGTCTAGTTTAAACTCTTTGTACATTATTGCTGACCTGATTGCAGCTTTCACTAATTTTCAAGCATGTATTTCTTCTTTGACTACTATGGTCATGGGTTTTTGTGTGTTAGAAAAATAGGCGTACATTCTTTTTCAAAGATGTAAGGAAGGTGTAAGAACCCCGGGGTTCTTCACCATGATAAACATTTTTCTACATTCCCCAAGTAACATACACTGTCTCCTTACTTCCTTGAGCTGATCAATGTTATGGATGACAGAGGTTCTGCAGCGTTAAGCATGGCATCACCTGAGGCGTAGGGCTATTACTGGAACTAAGTTGGACATATTTGCAGTTTCACGATTTCCTTACCTGACATCAATCTCAAACTTGAAACAATTTTCATTTAGTTTAGCGAAATCTTGTTTTAGTCAAAAGATTTAGTCAGGTCTTTTGTATGGGTGTGGCATAGCTGGAAGATGGGGCCTAAATAATGCTGAAAGCATTCAAATAACAGGAAGAGTAAGCATGAGTCCGAGGACTGAAACTAAGCCATCATCAGTCAGTGAGTTCCTGCAGGTTCTCAGGGTGGGGCACAACACAGGCGACATTCAGCTCAGTGCAGCTCAGAATGTTCAGGCTGAACCTCTAAGGTGAAGCATAGCTTTAACATTTGTCCCTTTGCATAAAGGTGTATGACAGCCTCTTTGATTTTAATAATATGACTGTGTGTTGTCCCGTTTATGAAATGGCACCAAACACACTTATTTCAAAGTCCCTGTGAGGATCCCGTAATGCTCGTGACTTATTTCTTGCCAAATCTGGGAGCCTGTGTGGCTAAGAGAAAATAGATGGAGATATGATTGACTTCTAGTAAAGCACAGGCTGGGAGAGCTGGCTGAGCCAAGAGCTGCTTGTTCGATGTCTTTGAGCAGAGTCATGTAGTGCCATGGGGCCTCCATTTCCTTCTGTCTATAAAAAGTACAAAGCATCAAGTGCTTCTTTGGGCATGTTGGGACATCAAATTCATTAGTGTAGTGTTAAAATTCTTCTCACAGAAGAGCCAAGGGTAAATAAAGACTGTATGGCCATAGCAACAGATAAATAGAACACGGGCTGTCAAAGGAAGAGAACCTGAAAAGCTGGTATTGTGTCTTCCTACGTAAATTTGTTTCTCACTTCTCTGATAGATATAAAGCAGCATTTGCCTTTCACAGAAATTGAATATTTATAAATAGGAGAATAATAATATTTTGGGATGGAAACTGAGCTGATTCATAGCTTCCTTTCATTCCCCAATGTTTGAGACTCCTGTACGTTTACCAGTTTTAAGCTCATTCACTGACATTACACCGGGGGATTAAAATGCAGTTTCTCCCCGAAGGAAGGGATGGCTGCAGGATTCGCATCTTTTTCGAGCAAAGCAGCCCATTGCTCAGTGTCAGAGCCTCCTCTTCTGGTCGGCTGAAGGGTAGCATCAGACGTGCATAGTTGGAACTGTTAGCTTGCTTTTCCAGCCAGAGTCTGAACCAGAATGGGATGGGAGAGATGGGAAACAGGGGAACGTTTGTTACTGTTGGCTGCATTTCAGGTGATGTCATGCTAACAGCCGTGCTGCTGCTCAGCGGTAGAGATCTGACCTTCGCGTTCAGAAATGGTTTCACAAATACTGCATTAATCTGCTTTTGCCCCTGAACTGGAGAGGAAAAAAAAAATCTAAAATATCCTACCAGGAATAAACTGTATGAGAGCTGCTTTGTCAGCCACAAAAGGAAAGAGCTAAATAAGCTGATCATTGGGCAGGAATTCTGCGGGAGAATTTACACAGCTGCTCTTAGACCCTTCCTGTTTCATCCCTTTCCCACCAAGCACAGGGGAAACAAGTCCCTCAGAACTCCCCGGAATACTAACTCCAAATGGCAAACGCTAACCTAGCACTGCTGACTTCCCAGGAATTCTAGCGTTGAGTTACAAGCATGCTGGTATTCCAGCCAGAAATCATTTGAGGAGTGAAACCAAAACTCCATTCATGTCACGAAGGTGAGCAAAATCATCAACCATCATTTTTTATGGCAGTCCTGTAACGTTCTCTTTGCCTCCTGTTAGCGTCCAGTAACTGAGAACTATGAAAAAGCATTAGGATTAAGGAAATACATGGCATTTCTCTCATCAGCAGCTGAACCTGATACTTTATGATCAGATCTCCTTGCATGTCCTTTTATTACGGCATTTAGAAAGGAAACCTGTAGTTAACTTAGATAAAAGCCACAGAGTTTTCAGGGTTACAAAGAAATATAACTCTGGCATATCCTTTTACTTCTCTATTGCCTCTGTTTTGTTGGGTTTTTTTAATATTTGTTTTGTCCCCCTCTGCTACCCTCCAAAACTCATTTGCAGAAGTGGTGGCTTAATTTATGAACACGGCCTTCTTCATTTGTGCCTCTTTTACACCACATTTTTAGAGAGAATCCCTGTTTTCTGCTTGTTTAGTGATAC